AGGGCCTTGTGTGTGAAGGCACACGAGCCGTCGTCCGTGCAGCGTGGCGCTGAGGCCGCGTCCGCCCTGTGCACCTGTGGCTATGGTCTGCGTGGCTCCATGCGCCTCCACACTGGTCGTCATCCGTTGTGTAGAGCTGGGGTGGGGAGAGGGCTTGGGCAGGGACTGGGTAGTGGACAGGCAGGAGGGACCAGGTCCGCCTCCGGAGGAAACCTGGGACCCTGGCCTGCAGTGTGTCTCCCCGGCCACAGTGAGGACCCTGGGCATGTTGTGTAGGCCGCCTCAGTCCACTGCCTGTGGGACAGGCTGCCTCAGTGACAGTGACAGTGTGACTGCCGGATGGGAGACCCTGCTGGCCCTGCCCAGCCCTTCCACCCCCCCATTTTGCACCCACTGGCGTGAGCCTGGCCAGAGTGTACACCCGGTCAGCACGCTCACCTGCGGCCCTGGCAGTGAGTACATCAGCCCGCCGCGAGCCCGTGTGGCCTCCGTCCGTGTCGGCCGCCATGGAGCCTGTGAGGTTGGGCCCTGGCGGGTCTCACACTCAGAACGCCACAGGGACTGGCAGCAGGGGAGCAGCGGTCCCCGCCAGGCCCATGTGGTCTCGGTGAGGCCCATTGCGGTGGCCCAGCGTGGCTGAGCTACGCTGTGTACAAACAGCTTGGCTGGGGGGCTCTGGAGGCAAGGCGTGGGCGGGGTGCCAGAGCAGACTCAGGAGGAACCCGAATTAGCCTGGGCTGGGAGGCAGCCAGGGAAGCTCTCCGCCTCTGCTCCGGGAGGCGGCTTGGAGGCAGCCACGTGCCGGAGGTGGAGAAGCCCCGCTGCGGTGGCTCGGGGTTCAGTGCAGCTGGGCGTGGAGAGCCGCAGCCACTCCTCAGGAGAGGGCGACTGCAGGTGCAGGTGCAGCCTGGGGCCTCGTGCCGCACCCGGGCGCACAAGACCTCTGATTCCCAAACACTTGGGCAGGGCGGCGGTAGGGGGGCAAGCTTGGGGTCATATTCCTGTCCTGTGCTCAGGGCGCTGGGCTCCTCCTCCAGGCCACCTGTGGCTCTCACTGGCCTCTGCCTGTGGCCCCAGATCCTGAGCCCCCAACTTGGAAACAGGTCTGGCCCACGGACAGCTCTAGGCAGGCTGCCCGACCCTCTGGTCCTTGTTCTCACCAAGAGACTCACCTTTGGAAACCAGCATTGGAAAATCTTTTTATAGGACAACTGTGGTGGAGTACACCTGTAGTCCCGGGCTCTGGAGAGGCTGAGGCAGGAGGACCTCAAGTTTGAGGCTGGCCTGAGTAACTTAGCAAGGCCTTATCTCAAAATGAAATAAAAGGGCCGGAGCTGTTGCTCAGTGGTACAGCCCTTGCCTAGCATGCAGAAGGCCCTGGCTCCATCCCCAGTGCCTCCAAATACAGAATAAACCAAACCAGGCCCAGGTGAGGCGGGCGCAGGGAGAGGGTTGGCGTCCCTCTTTGCTGAGTGTCTGTTTCCAGTGCTGAGGTCAGGCAGTGACTGGGCCACGTGGCAGAGGCGGCCGACGGCACTGCTCAGCCTGGCAGTCAAGGCTCCAGTGTGTGCAAGGCAGGTGGAAAGAGTCGGGCAAGGGCTCTGGCCCCCGCGGGGCCCGGGGTATCCACACATGGGAGCCAGGAGGATGGGCCCTGTGGGCGCCAGGCTGGGGGCACCGGGCCTCCATCCTTCATGCACGCTGGCCGGCCAGCCCTGGCCACCACAGGGGCAGTGGGCCCTGGGTAAGCTGAGGGAGCCTCGCCGGGCTGTCCGGGCAGCTCCCTGTCAGAGGGCACCCGGGTAGCCCTGGTGGTGCTTCGTCCTGTCGCACGTGCGCCTGAGGGGGCAGCTCCGCCATCCCTGGCTCCTGCCAGCAGCCTCTCACGAGCACAGCTCCTTGGCTAATGGAGCCGCCGTGGAAGACTAATGCACTGTGTCTGGTCACCTCCAGCAAGGCCGTTGCCTGCCCCGCAGGGCCAATAATGTTTTACTTTTTGAATTCACTTAAACGGAGAAAACATCTCAGGCTGCAGCTCAGCCACCTTCTGGCAGGTCCTGGCCCAAGGCGGCCGTTTCACGGTGGTGCCGGCTCTCAGGGCCCTGTTTATCCGCAATTTCTCCACCTTACGCCTCGGTGTCCTACACAGGTGATTAGGGATCTAATTGGCTCGGCTGTAAAAAGATAATTAATTGACATTTCCCTCCCGGAGAGGTCAGGCCGCCCGCTCTCTCCTGGCCCCTCCTTGGGACAGCACTACAACCTTTATCTTGCTGATAAAGCTGTGAGCGGTGTAATTAGAATCAGCAGAAAGTCCCTCTGGCTGGGGAACAGCAGGTGTGCCCCTTGGGACGAGAGAGCCCCAGAAGCCTCCAGGAGTGGCCACAAGGCTTCGGGCGTCCAATGTGGAAACCGTGGGCCACAAAGCCCTCCCGAGCATGGCCCAGCCTGGTCCCATGGCTTCTGCCGCCATCTTCCCTTAGGAGTCAGCCTGAAGGACCTTGCGGGGGGCACGGGCTCCCCAGCTTTTGTGGTCTTTTCTTATTGGTGGCTCAGCCTGACAGGACCAGAGTTTCAGACAGCGCGGCTGAGAAGGAGAGCGCTACCCACACGGGTGCTTCAGTAGGCCAGCCTGCCACCTGCCCGGGGCGCCCTGGGAACAAAACAGGTGCACCCCCAGCTGGATGGAGGAAAGAGAAGGCAGCAGCCAGTGGCAGGGGGCTGAGAGAGGCGCTGGGAGGGCTGCTGGCTCCCAGGAAGAGGCAAGAAGCGGTGCACGGGGCCCAGCCCAAGAGCAGAGGGGCCCAGGACAGATGTGACTGGGGAACGTGGCCTCGTGGGCTTCTTGGGCAGGAGGGACCCCGAGGTCAGCCACAGACCAGGTCTCAGCCCCGTGCTGGGTAAGGCACGGGCTGTAGGCAGAGCAGGGCGTTCAGGGCCCAAGCCCAGGACGGGAGGACTGGAGAGACTTGGGGGACCTGGCCTGGGGGATCTGTGAAGGGAGGGAGGAGTTGAGTTTGGGAGCTCCAAATTCCTGTAACTGCAATGTGGACAGCCTGGTCGGTACCAGGGCCTGCTGGTCTGGGGCCCAGCCCTCCGGGGCAGGAGCTGGGTCCTCCAGGGAATGTGGTGCTTATGCATGAGAGAGGGTGTCTGCAGCAGGGATGGCGGCAGTGGGGCAGCAGGAGGGGGTCAACAGGTGCCCAGAGAGTAGGGCCTGCCGCCATGAGGGGTTGAAGATGGTGTCCCCCAGCACGGGAAGCCATAGTCACACGGTCCCTGCAGGGACTTTGCCCCACGCTGCGGGAAAAAGCATGTCAGCAGGTCCCCTTCTGTGTCCCTGTGTCCCTGTGCCCTGCAGGGCGGCATCTGGGTGCTACCGCCCTCCATGTGCCGTGGCCCGTGTCTCAGGCCTCCCCTCCACAAGCGCTCGACCCCAAGGTCCCCAAGGACAGGGTGGTGGGGATGTGGTGTAGCCATCTGGACACCACCATGCAAGCAACCCCTGCCAGGCCGGGCAGGAGCAGTGTGCCAGGACCCAGGTTGGCCAGTGCCAGGGTGGACGGTCCAGCTGGGGCTCGTGCGCAGTGTGCATCTTCTGAAGGCAGCATTGGTGTCACACCCTCATCCACACTCTGAGTTACACAGCAGCAATCACGGGGCCAAGGGGCCAAGGAAAGGGGCCGGGCAAGCGGGGCTCACCCCAGCTTCTGGTCTGTGCACCAGGGGGGTGCAGTGCCTGTCACTGGAAAAGGAGGTGGGACCCAGCCTCCCAGAGAGCTTGCGGAGGAGAGCCGACTGGCCCTTGCCTCCAGAGTTCCAGGGCCTGGTCCGCGTGGCCCGGTGGCCGGGCCCAGCCAGGCTCTGGGAGGCGGAGAGTGACAACCAGGGAAGCGGCCCCAGAGCCTGGCTGTCCTGCGTGGAGCTGGACTCACGTGGGCACACCTGCCAGGCTTCTCTGTGGCCGGTCCACACGGCCTCACGTCCCCTTCCCCCCCGCCCAGGAATAACAGGAGCGTCCAGGGCCCCCCACCCCGTCCCTGCATTCTCTGCCCCCGGCGCTAGCAGACGTGGTAGACACAGCGCTGGCTGGTGGAAGGCGTGCGCCCACAGCTCCCGCTCACCCTGTCTGTGACTCGGTTTCTCAGGCCGCGGCAGTAAGGACAGAGCCCAACCGGTTTAGGGCGTCGTTTCCTGCTGGTCTCTTACACTTGCTAGGCCGGGTACCAGCCCAGCCTCCTCCACACTGCCGCCTGAGCCACGAGAGCGGGCACCTTGCCAGGGCAGGGCTCGCTGCGGGGTCAGGAGCGCCCAGTGTGCAGCTGCCACCTCGCACCCACGGCCCGCGGAGGCCATGGTGCATTAAGAATGGAAATGGCTCCCAGTCGCTGCTGGAGGCGGGTGAGCAGAGACAGTGGGCGAGGCGGCGGCCGCACTGGGACCTCCTTGCCCGGCTGGCTTGGCTTTTTATCACGCAGTGCAGGAGGAACAGAGGCCCCTGGGAGAAATAACTCCCCTCCCGAGACTCCATGGCCCCGAGGCTGCTGCCCTCCTCTGCCCCCGAGGGCGCAGCGCAAAGACGCCTCCCTCCCTCCAGCCCCCTGGGGTCCCAGTGGCTGAGCCGGGCCACTGCAGACTCCCTTAGCCCTGGAGCAGCTGGGCGCACGCGGATGGGGACTGACCCTTCGGCCCGGCCTCCAGAGCCACACTGGGCCCCAGAGGAGGAGCAGGGGCGGCAGTGCAGGGTGGACACCAGCCACCGCCACGGAGCCTGCTCTGCCCACACTGGCCCATCCACACTCAGGCTGGCCCATGGAGAGCGCCCGAGACAAGGGCCATCCTTGGACGGGCTCTTCCTCCTGCGTGCGCATGGGGTACCCAGGCCTGCTCCCTACCCTCATGGCCATCCACACCCAGAGACCAGCTCAAAAGCTGAGTGCAGCTCCTTGCTGACTTGGTTTTGTGACTTGGGCTTTCTTTCTCCTGCTCTTCTGGGGGAGCCTGCTCAGCCAGGGCACAGGAGCCCCCGAGTCCTGCGGACCACCGGCGCGTGACACGAGGCTGTGCGGAGTTCACAGACGTCCTGCTGGGGCCGACCCCACCCAGCCTCCAGCCCTTCCTGGTGCTGGGTAGCCCCAGCCAGGTGAGCACGGAGGCCAGGGAGGCCGGGAGGGCCTGGCCCCTCTGCCTGTGCCAGCCCCGCTGAGCCCATCCTCCCCCTGCTCCTGGCCCTCTAGAAGGCTGCCAACCGCAAGCACGGAGGCAGCCTGTGCCCAGCGAAGATGGCGCCCACCACCTGTGGCAGCAGGTAGGAGACTGTACCCCTCAGGGGCCTTCTGGGGGCTTCGAGCTCTGCCGTGCCAGGTATCGGACAAGGGCTTTGTGGTGGTAACAGCCTGGAGGAGCCCCTGGGGCAGGCTTAGGAAGGCAGTGCCCAACAAGGGCCTGTCCGCCGCGAGGAAGCAGGGCTACGGCCCCATGGCGTCCCAGCAGGGCCCAAGGTGGTGGTGACCCCTGCACCCAGCACCCAGGCAGTATGCAGGAGGGTGAGGGAGAGGCGTGGATCCCACACGCCTCCAGGGGCCATAACTGGTCCTGTTTACAGAGGAGAAACCCAGGCACAGGGACTCAGGTCAGCAATTGCTCGACCAAAGCAAGTGTGACAGGTCCGAGGGCTGCGTGTTACACAGCAGAAGGCCAGTAGCTACGCCCCTACCCCTCAGAGCACGTGGTGGCCGATCCCAGTCCCCCCACTGGGACGGAAACGTTGCACAGGACGCCCCAGCCCTTGGCCCTCATGCTGGCCCAGTGTTGTGGAGGACTTGCTGTGTCCCTGGCAGTGCCCGCCTGCCACCTGCCTGCCAGGTGCTGCCTGGTCTCGAGTGCGGCCTGTGTTGCCTAAGTCTCGGCGGGCAGTGACTGGACCTGTGGTAAGCCTGGGCACAGGAGGGCCGGTTCCACCCTGGGTGCCCCATGTGACCATGCCAGGTCCCCTCCGCCCATCCAGCCACAGACGCACCAGGCGCAGCCCAGCGCAGGCCAGCGCGGGCGCCCAGGCCCAGGAGTCACTCTCACAGGCTGCCTGGACAGCTTCCTCCCGAGGCTGTGCACAGGCGGTCTGCTGACCCTCCCACCTGGCCAGGCCCTGAAAGCCTCTCAAGGTGCCCCAGACTAGAGTCGCTGGGACCCCAGAATCCGAGTCTGCGGGTCTAAGCTGTCCCGAGTCCCCTGCGGGTGTGGGACCTCAACACCTCCCGCACGCGCTTACGTCTCTCCGGTCCTCTGGGAGTCCTGGGGCCTCACACCTCCCTCTGGGCCCCCCGGCGTCCCGTTTTCTGGGTGTGGAGATGACGGGAACACTTCTCATCGAGGTGTCTCCCAGGGCTGCACTCCCCTCCGGCGGCCTGGCCACAGGTGACAGATAATCTGCACCTCCACAGGCAGACCCAGGCCCCTGTCAGCAGGTTCTCCTAGCCTCCAGGTCCCTGAGATTCCACGCCCTCATCTGGTGCCCAGGATGGCGCTCAGCCCCGGGCCACCCCAGGACATGGACCCACCTGTCCCTCACAGCCGAGAGGCTTCCAAGCCTGGCGGGCGCCGCCCAGCCCCCTCCCACCAACCCTTCCCTGCTGGCCACACAGAGAAGGACAAGAGCCCATCCCAAGCACATGCGAGCTCTCCGCATGGCTCCGGAGACAGGCTTCTGAGGCGGGAGTGCGCTTCCTGTGCTGACAATGCAGCCAGTGACTGCGGCTGCGGCCTTCCCCGGCCACATGAGGGGTCAGGCACGCCCCCACCTTGCTGGCAAATAGCCAGGCTGGGCACCCCTGCAGCCATGCTGGAAACCCTACGTCCCAGTGCTGGAACAGGGTGCCATGGGCCCAAGCTTTGAGGACTGGCCGCCCAGCTTTGGCCAAGAGGGCACTGTGGCCTCAGGACGCAGCAGGGTGGCACAGTCACCAGTGGGCTGGCCTGGACACCAGCCTTTGCATTTCGCCCAGGGACCCAGAGCAGGGACAGTGGGAGCCGCCCTTCCTGGGTGACTCCCTTAAGAGGGGGTACACTGCTTCTGCTGTCAGGGTCTGGTGTGAGTCGGGGTGGCTGGGCATGAGGGGGCCCACAATGTGCGCCTGTCCCTCAAAACAACTGTGTGTCCCCCCAGGGCTCCACAGTTGGCAGCAGCCGTGGTACCCACAGGGGCACTGGCACCGTGGCCTCGTGCCCGTCACCTGCTGTGACCCCACCAAGCCCCACTTAGCAGCTCCACCATGTCAGCTGCCACTGAGTCAGGACAGCCCCCCGTGATGGCTGCAGGCACAGCTCTGGAGCATCTCTGATAAGAAAACAACCTAAAGCAGGCGCCTCATGCCCATGGAGGAGCGGGCGGAGGGTACCCGATGCTGCGGCTGCGGCTTCCTAGGCACAGAGCCTGGTGCGGCCCCCAGCCCCAGCTCACCAGCACACACCTGGCTGCTCCCCCCACCCCGGCCGTGTGAGCCCCCGGGGCCTGGTCACACACATGCAGGCGGCCCAAAAGGAGGGAGTTCGAGCCCGGCCTAGTGGCACTGGGCCTGTAATCCCAGCACTCTAGGAAGCTGAGGCAGGAGGATCACAGGTTCAAGCTTACCCTAGGCAACTTAGCAACTTGAGACCCTGCCTCAAAATAAAAATAAAGGGGGCTCTGTGTGAAGGCCCTGGGTTCACTCCCAGTTCCAGGAGGGAGATGGAAGAGAGTGGAAGCCCAGCCAGGCCCCCTGGGGGCCCCAGCTCAAGCTCCTGCTCTGGAGGTCAGCAGCCCCAGGCCACATCGTGCAGCACCCAGCAGGGACGGCTGGCTGTGGGGTGCTGTGTGTCCACTCAGCGCTGGACACAGCTCATGTGAGGGAACCCGAGCGTGGCAGAGTGGCTACTGGGGCAGCAGCAATGGCTTGAAGAGCCGGGGTAGCCCCAGCCGGGCGCCTGCTTCCTGGGCAGGAGCCTTGCAAGGCCCCGCCGCATTCCTGCAGACATTCCAGGCGCATGACAGAATCCCACAGGCAGCGGAGCGGGCTTGTTGGTCCCAAGCATAGTGAACTCCTGCCGGCTGCAGCGAGGGACTGCGCTTCATGCCTGTGGCCGTGAACGGTCCAGCCCCACTCGAGCATCCACAGAAGCCCTGCCCGGGCCGAAGCCCTAACCTGAGGGGGAGATAAACGCGGCAGACACAGCCCGTGGGGGACAGGATCTGATGCCTGAAGGGTGTGCTGTGTGCCCAGTGGTTCCTGGTGTCTCTCAAAATGGACCCAGTGCTGGGGGCCTTTGGAGTACCCCCCCCCAATCTGGAGGAAAATGGGTTTAATTAAGACTTCCGTGATCAGTCACTTAATCCGTCGCTAGGCCAACACAGATGGCGTCAATTTATTTTTTTTACTTTAAAAGACAGTTGACAAAAAAAAAAAAAAAAGACAGTTGACACTGGGCAGCCCCTGGCCCCTCCACGCCGGCCATGGTAACCACTCACACCCAGTGTAGGAGGTGTCCCGAGGGCTGAGGCGCCCCCTCCACCTGCGCCTGGTCTGCCACCCTGAGCCCACTGGCCACTCAGATGCCACCTCACAGGGCCAGCCCAGCAGGGGCTCCAGTGTTTATGTGCTGTAGACAGGAAGCTTGTCCACCCCTGCCCGATGGCTCTGAGGACCTGGGCAGGCCAGGGTGGCACCAGCCCTGCCTCAAGCAGGAGCGCCAGCCCCAACATTCAAGGCCTGCAGAGCCATGGGGGTACTGGGGCATGGCTCAGGGCAGCTTCGAGGCCCCATGGGCTGAGGGTACCCCCAGAGCACAGCAGACTGGAAACCTACAACCCACAGACTCCTGCTGGGGTGCGGCTGCTGGCCCAGCACCCTGCCCGCCCCAGCCTGGCTCCCACTCTAACTAGCTCCCCCGCAATCCACGCGACCTGGCCGGGCCCTTGGCACACGCCTGTGAGTAGATGCAGGGACCCAAGGACCTTGAAGGGTGTGGGTGTGAAGCTCTAGGCAGTGGGTGAGAGCTCAAGTGCAGCTGCAGGGCACTGGGGTGGAGGCCGGCCTGTGTCCAGGGGTGGCTGGGGGCAGGGTGTCCAGGAACAAGGGACGACCCTCACGCGGGTACAGGAGGGGGCAACAGAAGAGGTATAGGCTGAGGCTGTGGCATGTCCCCTCCCCCAGGATGCCCCTCGGCGGGAGTGCGGGGACAAGCAGGTGGCCTAGGTCCTCATTCCTCTGCGAGCTTGTAAGTCCTGAGCAGTGAGCCCCATCCTGTCCAGGCAGGAAGCAAATGAGCAGGTGTGCGGCGGGCGGGAGCAGCTGGGCGCGGATGTGCCCGTGCTGCCAGGGCCCTAATCCCCGCACCGAGGCTGCTTCCCGCCCGCCTTGGCTCAGGAATGGCCTGAAGCAGAGGGGGCTCACAGGGGGCGACTGCTGCCAGCCCCCAGCCACACACAGCGCCCCCAACGGGGAGGCCCAGGTGACTCCGGGTGCAGTGCCACGCTGTGCCCACACGCTGCCCAGTGCAGTCCCCGGTCAGGACCTCTGTGTCTGCAGGAACCAGGCCGTCCTTTCCGTGGTTCGAGTCCTCCACAAGCCGGGAGAAGCCAGGCAGCTGTCAGGGCCATGTGAGCCTCTGGGTGACAGCGCTCTCCAGCTGTGTCCCTGAGGCTCCTGCTCCCTAGGCCGGAACATGATGTGGGGGCCACATAGGGCCCTGGAGGAGCCAGCGGGTGCCTGTCCCAGTCACCTGATGCCCTGCCCGGGGCCTTGACCCTGGGGCTCAGGTGCACTTCCAGCCTCCGGGCCCGAAGCTGCCTGGGCTGTGAGTGTCGTCACTGTGGCCAGGACCACCAGGACAGCCCCACTGCCGGGGCCCCCCGGGAGCAGCCGTCCTGCCTCACAGATCAGCTGTGTGCCAATTTCCATGGCCAGTTAAGTGACTGCCACTTCACAAGTGGGCACTGCTTTCTCAGGGTCGACATGCAACATGGGTCTTGTGATGCCACCACCAACACCCCGAGGCCTCCAGACAGGAAGCACATGATGCCCGATGCAGGGGGCGCTGCCCAGAGCCAGCTGAGCACCGGGCAGAGACAGGGCTGGGGCCGCACAGAGCCCTGGCCACATCGAGCTCGGCCCCTCCGGATCTGAAGGCGAGCCCTCGGTGCCTGGATGGTTCACTGAGCTGCAAGGTCTTCAGGTTGGGGACCGTGGAAGGGGCACTGTGGCCTCGGTGGCTCAGGATGGCAGAGTCCTCGTGCAAGCCACTCCCCCCAGGAGGAGAAGGCTGAAGTGAACTCTGCCTGGGAAGGGCTCTGTGCCCAGTCCCGCCCAGGTGCCCCAACCCTGTCCCGCCCTACCCTGTGGCCCCGCACAGTCCACATGGTGCTAGAGAAAGGAGAGACAGCCTTTGTGTCCTGAGGACGCCCGCCGTCTCCCTGCCTTAGTGACACCACAGGGACCCAGGGATGAGGTCCGGCTGGAGTAGGGCCTCCTGGGGCGAAGGACAGATTGTGGGCATGGTGGCCTATGCGGAGAGCTGCAGGTCTCCAAGGTTGTCACCCTCACACTCACCTGGGACCTCCATGGAGGGGCCAGAGCCCCCACCGTGGCTGGACCTCAACGCTGGGCTGCTGCTGAGCTGTTCCCAGGATGGTTTATGGGGCTGGATTCGTCTTCCCAGAGATAAGTGAAGGGCACAAGAGAGACGGGAGCCGGAGCTTGGACATCGGCACAGAAGGGGTTGGGAGGGGGACATCAGGCAGGCCCAGCGCGGGGGGTGCAGGCTGTGGGCCTGGAGGAGGCCAGTGCAAGCTCAGGGGTCCCCTGAGGCAAGGAAATAGCTGGGAAGCGTGGGTGCCGTGGCAGAGGAACCCAGAGCTCAGCAGCCCCCAGGCCCGTGGGTAGAAGAAAGGGGGCCACAGGGCCAGGACAGAACACCCGAAAGGGCAAGGGCCCGGTGGCCAAGCACACACGGCCAGGCAGGGCACAGGACAGCGGGCAGGCACAGGGCCACACCTGGACTTCCGCGTACTCACTGCCACCCGCACCCCATCTGGCGCACCTTGAGATTGAGGCCCAGAAGATTCATTCTTTCTCCAAGTAACAGCAGCAAGGACATCCACAAGGTCCGAAAGCACCCAGCACCCAGCAAGGGGAAGTCTGCTGAGCCTGGGATCTGACCGAGGTCACTCGGCAGGCGGAGAGCGCAGGGGAAATGGCCCGTGGGGTGGGGGGGACCAGAAACGCCGCCACCACCACCGCAGCCGGGAGAGTTCACAGCCTCAAAACAGCAGCCGCTGTCGCTGGGTGCCTGTGTCCCTTCCTGTGTGTCTGAGCACAAGGTGTGGGCAGAGACCAGGAGGGGTGAGCGCCTGCAAGCTTGTGTGAGGCCCTGGTTTGTCCCCTGCACCAAAAGCAACGGAAGGCAACAGCAAGCAGCGAAAAGGACCTCACCCGGGTGGGACGGGTGCAGACCTCGCAGAAGGGAAGACGGCCACAGAGACAGGCCACCGAGAGTCCGGCAGCAGCCCCAGGGAGATGGGACAGGCAGGACACATGGGCCTCAAGACCCTGAACCCAGCTGCAGCCGGAGACCTGAGGAGGGACGTGGAGAAAAGATTTCAAAAGAGAGCCAAGCTTTTTAATCAGGACAAAATATTTTTGTTGGTTTTTTGGGGGGTTTTTTCCGGTACCGGGAATCGAACTCACGACCTTGCGCTTGCCAGGCAGGCGCTGTGCTGCTGAGCTAAACCCCCAGCCAGAACAAAACATTTTCAAATTTAATGGAAAAAAGAAAAGCCTCACAGACTCAAGGAAGTCCGTGAGCCTCAAGCACACCCAGAGGAGGAGGAGGACCCGATGAGGGCGTGGGGACTGCAGGACCCCGGCCCTGCCACACCCAGGCCTCCCCCTAACCAGGCTTGGCATGGCATCTGCTCAGGGAGACCCGGTGGCCGAGCCGGCACCGGGCACACAGCGGATGCCCAGTCTACGTTTCTGGGGTGTCCCACACTGCTGGGTGCTCCTGCTCTAGCCTGGATCCACAGCCTGCATGGAACCTGGCCTCAGGCAGACCCCATGCCGCCGCACCAGCGCCCGTTAATCTGCCCTGTTAATCGGTGCCTCCCGCAGCTCCCTGCCCTGCCTGGTTCCACGCCAGTCCTCAAAGCCCTGGGGTACTTCGGGAACTGGGAGTCTTGTAACAGCGCTGGCAGCCAGCAGCCTCCAGTTACCCTCAGTACTAAATTATTTATCTCCCTCCCCTCCTCCTCTGCACTTCCCTGTCTTTAACGCGACTCCTGGGGCCTAACCCAGGCCTGTTTCACTACACTCAAAAGGAAGTCTTTTTAAAATCTTTTGTCGTTACCATTTGTGGTATTTAAGTTTACAGAGGGGCAGAACCGACCCGTCCTCAAGCCCTGGCTGTGTCTGGGAGTGCTGGGCTCTTAGCCCCTAGCTCCAGTTCGGCTGGCAAGGGGCAGGGAGTCACAGCTCAGAGGCCTGGGTGGAGAGGAAGCCATGAGCCCTGGTCCCCCGGGATGGACAGATGGACGGACAGACGGTCCAGGACACAGCCCAGCCGTGCACTCAGGGGCTTCAGTGGCAGCTGGAAGACCGGCCTGGCGACCGGCCTGGCGCCCGCCCCAGCAGCCCCTGGGCTCCCTGTCTGGGCAGAACTGGTTGCGGGTTGGGCTGTGCTCTCCACGTCCCTCGAGGTGACCTGGCCACAGCCACTGTTCCTCCAGGTGCTGCCGGAGCAGGCAGGGCCACCCGCCCCAACTGCAGATCAGAACGGGGGCAGGGGCTGGAGCCCTCCCATGGGCCCTGTGCTCGGATGCAGGCAGCTGTGGCTGCTGTGGCTGTGTGTGTCTCCACCCCTCAGACAGTGAGGCCCAGGGCAGGGCCTCCCCTGCTGTCCACCCGGCCCCAGAGGACCCAGCTGACACTGGCCTTTGCCCCTTGAGGGACACATCAGCGCCACACAGCCCCACCTGGCTGTGCCAGTCACTCCCTGCTGGGAACTGCCTGGTCCTCGCTGACCGAGGGTTCCAAGCCTCCGCTGGGGCCTGACCCTGGTTCCGAGGAGCAGCACTGGCCTGGGGCACGGTTTTCCACTCGCTACCCAGCGTCCCTGCACTGCTGGAGGCCTGGAGGGGAGAGACCTGGGCTTGGGCGGCTCCAGCGTAGACAGTGGGGTATGGACACTCGGGTTCCCAGCTTCAGAACCTGCTGACCCTGCGCCCACTGGGCCCGCTGGTACACTCAGCCCTGCTCTGCTCAGAGCCATGGCCCTTTCAGGGTGCAAGACTCAGGCAACCCCTTCTCCCCACAGGCCCAGCAGGACCGCAGTGGACCCAGTGTCCGAGGTGTACCCAGGTAGGCAGAGCCACGATGCTCATGGGCTAGCAGGGACTATAGGGGGGGCAAGGCCCGGTGCCCAGACTCCAGGGCCATGGCTGGGCACGTGAGGGCAGTACAGTCTCTTCTGGGGCCCAGGCCTTGGCGTTGTTGGACAGTGGGAGCTGGGGCTCCAGGACGATGCAGGGGCAGGGTCGCAGGGCTCCAGGAGGAAGTGGGGGAGCAGAGGCGCTGGGTGGCCGAGCATCTCCTCGAGGGTCCTAGAGCCGTGGCTGCCAGCACAGGTGGTGGCCCAGTGAGCACAGGGCAGGGGATCAGGGCATGGGCACTGCCTCCCCCCATGCCATGCTGCTCCCTGGTGTGCCCGCCCGAGCCCAGGGCACTGTGGGGCAGGGCAAGGCCTGGGCAGCACCTGTGGGCTGAGCTCTTCCCTTCAGAGAGCCTGGGCCCGGGTCCCTCAAGAACCCCAAGAACCCGGAGTTTCCCCAGACCTGGGACATGACGCTGCCACCACCCTGGGTTGGTCCCATGGGAGGGCCTGGGCCGGAGCAGCCGAGGTGCATCTGGCAGAGATGGGGCCTCTGCCCGCACCTGACAGAGATGACCCTCACTGCGAGGTCTCTGGGCCCAGCTAGGAGGTATGGGCTCCACATCTGGGCTCACTTCTCACCGATCCCCAGAAGCCCCAGGATCCACTCGGATCGCTGGGAGCACTGGCAGGGCCCTGATCTGGGATGAGACAGACTCCCTCGTCCTACAGGGTCACTGTCCCAGGGAGGCATCCCTGGCGGAAGCCACTTTCCAGCTGGGGCAGGGACTCAGACTTCAGGCCACAGAGTGAAGTCAGGGATGGCCAAGTCCCAGGGCCAGCGCCAGCCAAGGGACCCAAGGCCCCAGCCCTCCTGCAGCCTTCCCTCCCAGAACTGGGCTGCACACGGGGTCAGCTCAGGCCTGGGCCTGGTTGCACATGCTGCCCGCTGAGCTCACGCCGGCCCCCTGGCCGGCCGCCCTTGGCCTAGCTAAGCAGTGTTCTCGGCAACGCCTGGAGACGGGCTGCTTGAGAACACTGCGGCGTCGCTATGCGCAGCTTCCCCTCCAGCCGCCAGGGAGGCTGGCCCGCTGCCGCGCCAGCTGCAGAATGTGCCTCCCCTCCCAGTCCCCCGCCCCAGCCCAAAGGCCCCCTGTAATGGAACCGTGGTGGCTGAAGAGGCTGAGTAAGGCCGGCAGATTCCTCTGGGCCCCTGAGGCCCGCTCCCATCCTGCCCAGGAATGCGCAGGCGCCCGCAGCCCTCAGCCTGGCCGAGGTGGACAGTGACCGCCCGTTTCCCAGCCTGGCGTCTGGAATGTCGATCTGCCCTGCTCTGCGGTGCGGGTGACTCCTGCCCCCAGTGCAGCTGTGGCCGCATTCCTGGTGTGAGCCTGGGCCAGCCGGGAGCTTTTTTCCCTCTCCAGTGCCAGCCCTGGCGGGCTCAGGGGAGGGGGAGAGGACCGTATCTATGGCAACCTCTCTTTTTGTTATTTCTTATTTTCTTTTTTATGGTTTCTCCAACTTTGAAGCTCTCCAGACAGTTTACAGACTGCAGAAAGGAAAAGTACTTTTCCTCCTCCTGAGCCCCTGCAGGGCTGCCCTCCAGCTCCCAGCAGAGCGTGGCCCAGCCTTCCCACCCCAGGCTGGCCAGAGGCATGCAGAGCTTTAACACGCTTCCAAACAACTCAGAGGAAATGAATTGTTTTTCTCCTAAAAGCCTAGGAACCTATTTCCAGAAGAGTCTCTTGGCCACGTGGCCCAATGGACATGGGGTGGGTACCCCTGGCCCAAGACCTGGAGAGCTGCCTGGACCCTGGGCCCCCATGGTCACAGCCCCAGCTCTGGCTCCAGGGTGACCAGGTCCACAGAGGCACTGCCCCTCAGGCTCATTTCTTCATGTTCGGTGACCATGCACCCAGCAACCTGGAGAATGGCAGTGTGGTCCTGGGGTCACAGTGCCAGGAGCCTAGAGCCCCAGGAAGGCACCAGCAGGTCCTAAGCAAGTGGCAGCAGGAGTAGATGCCCGGGCTGAGAGGCCTGTGGGGTGCAGGGCAGCAGCCTGGGCCACTGTGGCCACTGGGAGCCCAAGATCAGCACTGCCCATGCCTCGCAGGGGAGTATGTGGTCATGGTCCAGGACGTGACCACACCTCCATTCCGGGGCCACGCACTGCCTACTGCCTTCAAGCATCTGCGTGTCCTGCGGAGGGGCGGCTGGCAGCCCCACCCCTGAAGAAGGCTCCAGGACCAAGCCTGAGGTGAGCCCCACAGACGGCCCGGAGCCACCGGAGCCCGCAGAGCAGCCTCCTCCCAGAACCCCGTGCCACTGTTCCTGGCCCCGGCCCCCACATTCCCAGCAGCTCAGGCACAGGGTGGGGCACATGAATCCCCCGCCACTGGCTTCAATAAAGCACTTGACAGCAGCCCTGAAGCCCCTGTGCACACACGTGGGGTGGCAGGACCTAGCCGTGTCCCTGGGCAGCACAAGAGTCCCACAGGCACAGGTGGGGGCTCATCTCCGCCCTCAGGGCCAAGCCCTAGCTCTTCAAGGCCTGCACATTTGTACCATTCCCACACCCATCCCAGGCCAGGAAGGTCTCCCCTGGAGTCCTCTGCCAGGCTGGGCCAGGCCTGGGGGCCACCAGGAGGGGCAGTGTAGTCAGGATTCACAGTTGCCTCTGACGAGCCCTGGCTGCTAAGGACACCTGGGTAAGGTGCCATTTGGCCACATGGAAGACACCCAGAGACCCCACCTCCTGGGCACCCTTCCAGCCCCCAGCTTGGCCATGCCCGCCTGGCACACATGCCCACCTGGTGGGGTGTCTCTCTGTGGCCCCAGTGTCAGGCATGGTGCATCCTCTCCCAGGCTTTGCCAAGAGGTCACTATTCTCTACCACCCAGGTCAGCCACAGGAAGGGGCATCTAGGCCCTGGTGCCTGGCAGGCGGATATGTGGCGAGCGCCATCTGTGTGCCTAGCAATTGTCCGCTCTGCCTGAGGGGGGTGGGCTTGACCTTGTGGGCCCACCTCCGCCCCTCACCCCACCTGTCACCCCGCCAGAAGAGCAGCCTCACCTAGAGCAGCGCCCGTGCCTCTAGGGCCTGGGCTGTGGCCAGCTGAGCCGTCCAGTGTCCAGGGCACCCCCTGTCACCTCAAGAGGGCGAATCTGCCTTCCCAAGCCCCAGACCAGTGTCCAGGGGCACCCTAGAGGGCCCACCCCATCCTGTGCCCTTGGGCTTGGCCACAGCTCCTACGGGGGGGTCTCAGCTCCTCTCTCTCCCCCGCCTGCTAGGTGGGGCCTGTGTGGAAGGGGGTCGCACACAGCCCGACCGCCAACTGCCACGGCACACCTCCCCCTGCTCCGCCCTCAGACAGAGCAGCCTGCCCCGGGCTCTTTTTCCGCTTCAGGATGGAACCACATTTCTGTCAAAAGAAAAACAGAGAAAATGATGTTTCAATTTAGGAAGGAAGAGTCGCTGGGAATGGCAGCAGCTGCTGCTCCCACCCTGCCTGGGCACTCCGCAAGCTCCCCAGAGCATGCGCAGTTTCAGCCCCCAAACCCACAGCAGAAGTTCAGCGTCTGAAACTTGCAGATGGGGGGCGGCTCCTTGGCAGCAAGTGGCCTGTGTCCTGGGCCAGGCTGGCTTTCCACAGAAGCTGCCGGCCTCCTGCGGCCAGGTACTTGCTGCCCGCCCCTGCCCACCCTGTTGCGCAAGCCCCAGGGCCCCGGGGACACAGCAGGGCTCCTCTGGCTCAGCAGCCTCCTGGGCAGTGCTAAAGATGGGGGCCCAAGCACAAGGCCCCTTGCCCTTCTGGGCCTGAGGGGCTGCCAGCCTGGGAGGACACCAGCCTGGCTAGGCTCCTGTCCAGCTGCGCTGGCGGTCAGAGGGGGCCGCGGGGCCCAGCTGCCTGGCTGCTGGGCTATTTCCACAGGCACCATGGTGAGAAGGGTCTTGGGCAAGGGCTCCCGGGCCCGGGCCTTGCGGGCTCCAGCCAAAGCCCCTGGCCTCCCACGTGTCCCTCCTGACCTCTGACCCCCGCCCCTAGAAGGGGAACACTGGCCCCTTCCTCGGGTATTTATTAAATGATGACGGACAAACAGCACTGGGGCAAGCGCTACTTGAAAAACCAAGAGTTCTTACAGGAAGCCTGTGAGTGAGAGACAGAGGCAGCGAGAGGTGGAGACCGAGGAGATTCACCCAGAGAGATCAGGGAGCAAGAAGGCCCCTCCCCGCCTGACCCCACTCCAAGCAGGCCTGCAGCCACCAGGACACGCAGGGTCAGTAGAGGACAGCGTGGCCGCACTGGTCACCCAGGACACCTGGGAGACCTCCCCGAACTCCAGCTTCAGCCTGGCCAGCTGCCTACTCCGCCCAGTGTGAAGCCAGCTGTGGGCCCAGCACCCTCCCAGAACTTCCTGGAGGTGCCCATGCCCAGCCTGCCAGACAGTTCCTGTGCAGTTAACCAGGCCCTGCCAGCTCACTGCCTGCCCTGGGGCAGCCACCACTGCCCAGCATGTGTCCAGGGCAGACACTGCCAAGCCTGGCCCCCACTGCTTCCTGTTCCACTCTCTTCGGGGCAGGGGATAGCCACCATGGCCAGGGGGAGAAGCCCTGGGCGGGGCTGGCGCAGGGGCAGGGAGAACTTGGAGCAGCAGGAAGGGTCTAGGGGAAGCCCACCCAGGACAAGAGACTCGCACTGCACGGCCGTGCCACACAGGTTCATCTCAGCAAGAGGCCCCAGATCTCTGAGGAGTGGGCAAGCCACCCCACTGCCAGGCCAGGGCCGCAGCGCCACAGGCAGGGCTGTCCCCAGCAGGCAGGGCCTGGCAGGTAGGTGCAGCAGGCTCACCCTAAGCCAGTGCTGGTGGTCCTGCTGGGAGGGTGCCACTCTTGAAAACTTGGGGCACCCCTTCTCCTCCTGGATCCACACCCCACCCCTGGAGAGCCAGTGCCAGGGACCAGCACAGGAAGCTCCCAGTAATACAGCTGCAGAGCCCAGTGGGGTGGGCTGAGTCTGAAGGGCCTCCTTGCTAGGGTGGCCTGGGTAAGCGGCCAACCTGGGGCACACAGGGAAGGCACAGCCCAGCCTGCAGCCCTCCTGGCCCCAGCGTGGATCCTAGCACCTCTGCCTTTAACAGATCCCAGGCCAACCGAGATGGAGCTGGGGGAGAACCCTACCCAAACACTGACCCCCTAGCCCTACCCTCAACACTAGCCACCTAGCCCTAACACTAACACTACCTTTAACCCTAACCCCCAACACTAACCTACTAACCCTAACCTTAACCCTAACCTTAACACTAAACCTGACCCTAGCCCTAAAACTAACTTTGACCTCCTCTAACTCCAGTCCTACCCCAGCCCCCAAACCCTAACCCTAACCTTAACCCTAAACCTGCCCAATGTGGGGATGCACACCTCTAATCCTAACACTCAGGAGGCTGATGCAGGAGGATTGCTGTAAGTTCAAGGCCAGCCTGGGCTACCTAGTGGGTTCAAGATGAGCCTGAACTACATAATGAGACCTTATCTTAACAAACAAAACAAAAAAACTCCTAAGCCTAACCTCATCCTTAACCCTAACCCCCATAACCCTAACCTAACCCCCCTCATCCTAACCCTAACAACCCTATCTCTAACCCTGACTCCAGTTCTGTGGCCTGAATAGGGTCACGGGGTCATGGGGCCAAGCTAGAACCTGGTACGGGGGATGTGCAGGAGTGGGGACCAGCAGGGGTCCTTAACACACGGAGGCCCCTTCCAGCATAAATGTGAGGCAGCTCTGCAGGTCAGGCAGGGACCTTGCGGAGGGCGCAACACCTGGGGACACTGACTGACCCCTTTCCTGGAGCCACAGTTCCCATGTGGTGGCCTAGGATCACGCCCCCCATGCTGAACACAGACATGTGGGTGGGAGGGGGCACTTCCTACAGGCAGATGGGACTGTGCCTTAACCTCCCCGGGACCCCTGCAAGCAGCCCCACCCTGACGGGGAAGCCCAGGCTGCCCTGGCAAGCAGGAGGACCTTCCCCTTCCCATGCACCACCCTGCACTGGAATCAGGGTGGCCCTAGGTTGGCTGGTGTATTGCAGGGACCCTGAGTAAGGACCCCCAACTCCCAGCCCAGCCCAAATCACCGCCCCAGGCTGGGATTTGAGGGGTCGCTCGTGGAGTGCCGATGGCCCGGCAGTGACCCCACTTCCTGCCATCAAGCCTGTGCTAGGACCAGGCCTTGGGCAGGGACCATGGTGAGGCCAGGCGCGGTGCCCTTTGCACCCTGGCTGTGGACCCTGTCCTCACCCTCCAGGAGAAACAGGCTTTGGGGTGCTGTCTCTGCTAGGCCCTCCCTGGTGAGCACTGGGCAACCTGAAGCTGGGGTGACACGAGGCTCTACAGCCTGAGGGGGCACCACCTCAGCTCCCAGACCCTCATCTGTCAGCTCAGCCGGTGTCTACCAGGAAGCCACCCAGCACTGTCCTGGGAGATTCAACACAGTGTGGCCACTGACCAGCAGAAGAGACCGGAGGCAGGGCAGCAGTGCTGGCCAGGCCAGGTCCCATTGAGGTCCCAGCACTGGGTCACATCACTTGGGTCAGGCATGGGAACAGAGCAGCCAGGGGCAGCTGCAGCTTGGATGGAACTTGGGGTGCCAGGGCCTGCCCTGGGCCTCAGTCCCTCTACCCAGTTACAGCACGCACACGCACGCCAGCGCATGTGTGCACATGCAGATGTGCTAGAGCATATACACAGAGCACAGGCACACGTGGGGCTCCCCATGCCAGAACACCCTGCCCTAGCCCTGGAGGAGGAGCCTAGCCCAGTGCCCCAACCCGTTCCTGGCCCCTCCTTCCCCTGGCCCTCCGGAGCAAGAGGCCCCAGGGTGGAGGAACTGGGGCACCTGCCCCCACTCCAGTGGCAGTGCCTCCCATCTGGTCCTGCAGCGCGCACAGCTCCCGCTCACTGGCAGGAAGACCTGCGCGTCTGTCCTGGACAGAGTGCCCCCGGACCGGCTTCCTCTTAGGAGCTTTGCTCGGGTTGCCTGGCAGGGCTCCTCTTGCCAGAGGGGCCGGAAGGCCTGGACTTTGGCAAGGAGGGCGATGCAGACAGGGTGGCCAGCCAGCTGACTAGGGCTGCACAGGCCCCCTGGTGCCCGGGACTGGGTGACGGCACACAGGAAACAAGAAGGAGCAGCGGCCAGCCTAGAGGAGCCAGCACAAAGCCCACAGAGAACACACCAGGTCTGCCTGAGCCCTTGCCTCACATAGCCCCGGGCTCTGGGACAGTCAGGAGCCTGCCCTCCCGACGTGGGGCTGAGCACCTGCTCCCACCCCACATGATCGAGTGGCCTAGGGCGGCCGCAGGAGGGCAGATGTCCACTCAGCCCGGGCGAAGGCTCCAGGGTGGTGTCGGGCGGGCCTTCCTGGTGGGGGTCCCACGCTGTGCCTCCTCCCGTGAGCGTCGGCCCTGTGTTCCGGAACCAGCCTCTTTGTGGAACGTGAGATGGGCCCAGCTTCCTGCCAGCAAGGCTGCCAGGCCCAGCCACAGGACAGGGAGCTCCCTCCTGGCTGGTCGGACACCTGGCCCTGCACAGGATGCCGCGAGACCAGCCAGGCTGGCTGGCTCCCCCTGCCTGTCCTCTCCCGCAGTGGACCACCTGCTCCAGGCCTGGGCGCCTGTGCCGAGGCCTCCACCCACCTGGCGCGGGCCGGTCACAGATGGCCGCATGCGTCACTGAGCCCGTGGGGTGGCAGGGACAGGCAGACAGCCAGTCCCTGATGTCCGTCCCCACCCCTCTGCAGACAGCAGGTCTTGGCCACACTGGGTGGGTCTGCAGGGAGCCAGGCCCCTCCACCCTGGTTTCACATCCTCGTAGGCCAGCACTGCCGGCAGCCCTCCCTCCTCGGGGTGCAGACTGCCGAGCAGGCTTCCTTACCAGGGGCCCCCTTCTTGCAGGGCATGGGCCCTAAGCTCAGGACACCCACGGTGGCCTGTGGGAGACCCAGGCCCTGCCTTGCAGTAAGAGTCACAGCAGGTGCTGGGCAGGGCTCCTCCTCACCCAAGGCAGCACCCAGGTGGAGCCCCTCAGGCAGGAACCCTGGGGGAGTAAAGAGGGTTGGTGACTCCACTGGGCAGGCCATGGGCACACAGGACACACGCTGCTACTGCAGCACCCGCCCAGGGCCCAGCAGGGGGAAGGGCATGCCAGCCAGCTGTTCCAGTGCCTGGGCAGTGGCTTCCGCTTTCCCGAGGGCACCTGGCACCCACCCACCAGATAAGCAGCACGGGCACTGAGGCTGTGGTCAGCCCTGGGGTGGGGGTGGGGGTGGGGCAGGGCAGGGCTGCAGACAGCGGACAGTGAAGGCACAGCTGGCGTGGAAGGTGGGCACAGGGTGATATGGACAGAGCCGACCCACCTCTGCCCGGGCTCACCCTTACCCCCACAGGTCCTCAGGACTTGGGGAGTCACCAGCCAGAAGCAGGGTGCAGACAGCCCCAGGGCCCAGGAGGCCTTGGTTATGGACAGAAGTGGCCCTGAGGAGGGACTCAGAGGCGGCGGCTGCTTCCTGTTCCCCTGTTATGAAGGATGACAGTGGCTCCGCCTGGCCCCCAGGCCACCCTGGGCAAGGGCTTCTGACAGGCTCTGACTGTAAGCTCAGCCCCAGGTGAAGGCCAGGGCCGCCATGGCCTCAGACCCCCGTGAGCCCAGTTCCAAGGCCCCCGAGGCCAGGACTCCATGCCAGCCCCGCCCTTCCTCTGCCGCTCTGTGGCCCGGCCTGGGCCTGGCCGGCTTCCTGCAGTGAAGGCTGCCCTCCCCAGTCCGGCCTCCAGCTGTACACCCTGCTCTCGGCAGGCACTTCCCATGTGTCCTGCCGGGTGTCCAGGTGTGCGCTGGGGAGGACGAGCAGTGCCAAGGTGCCCTGGCTGTGGAGATGGCCCTGCCCCTAGGCCCAGGTCCAGGCTGGGATGCCTGGGACCTGACACTGTCTGCAACACAGGACCTGGCCAGGGTGGTGGGCTTTCCGGGTGACACCTGTGGACAGGGCAGAAGCAAGTCCCAATGGGGGCTGGAGGAAGGGGGCTCCTCTGGTCCCAGGTTTAGGAGCTCACAGGTGGGAGAAGGGTGTGAGGGTCCTGCTAGAAAGTGTGGGGCCACTTCTTAGATGAGACCAGATGATCACTCACCAGAGCCGGGCCAGGCCTAAAAGGCCAGGGTTGGGGGGCAAAGGGGGTGACAAAACGTGGCGCTGAAACCCAAGGGATCCTGCCATGGGGTCCCCCTGCAGTCACTAGTAGCCCAGTCCTGCACGGCAGCCTGTGGGGGCCCCGAGCTGAGGCACGAGGGGCCCCAGTCCCTCTCCCTGGCAAGTGGCAGCCCCGGGAAAGCTGTGCCCGTGCTGGTGGCCCAAGGTGGCTGTGCTCAGGCACCCGGCTGCCGCACCTGAGACCTGAGGGGGCGGGGACAAGCACAGCCTCCTGCGTGCTCTCCGAGTCCTTTATTGTACAATGTCATCACTTCCAAGGGGGCGGGAGGACTAACAGGTACACAGCGAAATAGATAAATATGCCAAGCTTTTTCTTTTTTCCTTTTTTAAATCAGGCATTTATAAACAAGAAAGCATACATTAATTACATAAAAATAGCTCTCGAGTAGCAGAGTAAGCCGTCGTATTGTCATTAGCAGCAGCAGAGGACACGGCAGGGGCAGGGGCTCTGGAGCATGTAAAGGTTGGAAATGGGGTTTTTCCTTTAATTGAAAAAATGTCACTTGAGACTCCTGACGTAAAGCAAGAGGTGCCCCTCAGCCCACGGCGCGGGGCAGGGGGCAGAGGTCGAGGCTGGGTTGGGCAAGGGCTGCGGCTCGGCCGAGGGAGGAGACGCCACCAGGACCCCGGCCGGCCACTCGGTCCCACTGGCGGGCAAGCAATTTTCTTCCTCAGTTAAAAACAGCCCGGAAAACAAGACAACTACCAAGTAAGAAAGTTTCTGAAAAAGGAGCCACCATATACATGTATAATACAACGGTGTAAAATGAAAAAAAGTATTTACATGTTAGTTGTTTTTACATTGGCTAGTTTCTGTACGGAAAGCGGGGAGTCATGTACGAGTTAGCTGCTCCACAGATATGAATGTTATTGCTGTTTTTCCCTTCGTTAAAATCTTTCAGGATAGAAATGATGAGTACTTAAGCTGAATACACAACCCCTGCGATAATGGAGTGGGGGCTCTCCCTCCTGCAAAGAAACGGAACTTGCAGCCTGCCGCACTGGCGGCCCCGGGGAAGCCCCAGCCCACGGTCACCCTACATCAGAGTGGCTGGGACAACCCAGCACCCTGCCAGCCTTCCCTGGACCACGACCAGGGTGAGGGGCGGGAGCTGCAGAGCGGCCCGGAGGGCCCCGTGCCCAGCTGCTGCAGGGGCACCTGCCCTGTGCCACTACCCCAGAGGGGCAAGCCAAGGGGCGACAAACTCATGGGTCGGCAAGGCCATCCGAGGCCAGCCAGTGCCCAGCGAGTCACCGTGTAGACACAGTGCTTCCCACTGTCACGGACAGCACTCAGCAAGGACACCGGGGTGTCACGGTGGCAGGGGCAGGGAGAGGGGCAGCCCCACCTAACAGAGCTGAGCAAAGCGCGTCCCTGTGGAGCTAAACCTCCAGCTGGGCCCGACTCACTGCCGCCTGCAGCTGGCGACAAGGACGTCACACAGAAGCACGCCAACACACTTAAAGCTTTGCTCAAACTAAATCGTTTAGTTTCCCTTGAAGAAATGACTGAAAACACACAAGTCTGGAAAACAAGGCTGAGAACAGCGCTCTGCGTGTTGTGTAACAAAACTGACCCTTTACAAGACACGGTAATAATGCCCATGGGTGGGTCTGCTATGGCAGAGGCGTGAAATCCCATGCATACAGGTTTCATAACTGCAAAAGAAAGAGAAAAACTCCAAGTAAATGCTGCATATACATGATGTCCCTTTTGCATTGCACTTCGGGAAAGGGGGGGATCCCGGCAGCAACCGAGCCCCCCTTAGTAAACCAAGGGCGAACCCTGCGGACGATTCCATCACCCGAATGTCAGGGTTCTGCAGTCTCTGGTCTCTGCTTGTTGCTGCCGGCGGTTGACAATTTTGAGGTCGTTTGTACCTGCACAAGCCATCTCCACCTCCCTCAGCTCGTGGCTGCCACGGTGTTGGACTGGACTTGGGCAAAGAGCTCCTGTGCGTTCTTACGTGAAGTAACACCACGGTCTCAGGACGGGTGGCTGCCTCTTGTCTACTGGGAAGTAATTTTTCAAGCTTGGGCATAAGAAACCTTATACAATTTGCATAAACAGTTGAGAGTAAACGAGATTATTTGGAATAAATGCAAGTAACTTATTTCGACAGTGGCAGATTCGATCGCTACTGAAGACGGGATTGGGGGTAAAAAGACAGGAGCCAGGGTTTCTGTACACAATGCTGGAAGGCACAGGACGAGCCCCAAGTTCGTTTCTGCGTTTCGTTTCCTTGTGATTCCCTTGTTCAACCAAGCACCAGAGGGGATTCTAAGCACTCAAGCACATAGGGTTTGAACTGCTCTAGAAATCTGTAAAAACCTCAGTTAACTGGGGAGTAAAAAGAGAAGGGAAAACTTTTGACAAAGTGCAGTTCTAAATACACGTTTAAATGAACAAACAAAAAAGTAATAGTAATGCTGTGTTTTGTTCCAATGCTGCAGCCTCAGTCGGAAACGAGGAGCGACGTTTGCAGACTGAACGCGCGGCGTGTTCCCGGAGGGGGAGGGTGTGCCGGCCGCCTCGCACGCCCCACGCAGGGCAGCACCTCGCTCCACCGGGCGGTGGCGGGCCGGGCAGGGCCGGGCATGGTGGAGCCCAGGGCAGCCAGCGGCTCTCCAGGCTCCTGGTGGCTCTGCCTTCCCGGGGCCTGCGGGGCGGTGGCAAGGACACGGGGCGGGCGGCGGTAAGGCGGGCAGTGTTGGGCTCATCTCGCACGCGGCACTCTCCCTGCTGTTCCTGGCAGCAGCAGGAAGATCCAGGTCCTTGTCGCTGAAAAAATAGACTCTGAAGAAAAACCCTTGCTGTCCTCTCGCAGCCGCGGGCACAGATGAGCATGATGGCTTCCGGGCGGGGAGGGCAGCGCCCCCCGCGCCAGGTCTCCAGATGGCGTTTCGCGTTGGGGTTCTTAAAAGTTAGTCATAAAAAACGTGTGGGTCTTCTGAGTATCAAGTCTCCTTACTGGTTTTAAATAGCTTATAACAAAAGTGTAAATGTTAGAATGTTCCAGCAAGCAGAGGCTGGGCACCAGCCGCTGGGCTGGCCTGGCCTCTGCCGCAGCCCGGAATGCGGCCTGCTTGCTTGAACTTGGCCAGTAGAAAATTTTGCAGTGGATTCCAAAAGTGTGTAGTTACAAACACTCGCTTGGTAATAGGCACAGTAGAGACGTTGTGCTGTATGGCCGCAGAGGCGCGGGCCAGGCCTGCAGAAGCCCGCACCCCTGCCCGCTGCTCTCCGCGCCTGGCGTGGTTGTGCCCGGCGGCGGGCGGCTTGGGCTAGGGCTCCAGCTCAGGGGCGCCCTCCCCACCACCACTGCCGCCGGCATTCTCAGGGCGTGGCCGGGGCCACAGCTGCTCCTGCAGCTCCTTCACCACCTTCTCCAGGTGCTCCCGCGCCTCGCGTTCCCGCAACAGGTCTGCCCGCAGCTGCTCGCGGTCAGCCTCCGCATGCTGCAGCTTCACCTGCAGGTCCTCAATCTGGAAGGATGGGCGGCCAGAGTCAGCAGGGGCCTGCCTGGCTCCTACCACCCCACCCCAGCACCCCCTCTATCTCCAGCTCCCAGGGGAGGGAGGCCCCAGGAGACCCATGCGGGGGGCCATGGGACAGGAGTCCAGCCCACACCATCACAAGCCAGGGTGGGTGCTCTTTCCCTGGCCCCAGCTGGCAGCATGGCCAAGCACTCGGTCCACAAGCAGGGTCCCTCTGCCCATCTTGGGCAACCCCCACAGCCAGCTCTCTCACACAGAGCAGCAGGAAAGGAGCCGAGTGCTCCAGGGCCTGCAAGGATGTCTCCAGGGCCTCTGGCATTCCAGACACGGCCTGACTGTCTGCAATCCACCCCTACCCCACTGCAGCCTGGGCAGCGTGACCCTGGTGACCAAGGACCGTGGGCCGTGGCACCAGTCGTGGCCAGCATGCTTCGGTCTCCCAGCTTGGCACGAGGCCCTGCCCTCTGGGGCCGCCAGCACCCGCACCGCTGCCGGCGTGTACCTGAGCCGAGTACTTGGCGCGCAGGCGGCCGGCCTCACAGCCCTTGTCACACACCCGGACCTGCCGCGCCTGCTCCAGCTCCCGCTTCAGGCGCACCCGAGACTCGTTGGCCTCTTTCATCTTCTTCTCGTTCTCGGCTTGGAGGCGCTCGATCTCCTTCCGCAGGCTGCGCTTGGCCTCTGTGGCTTCCCGCAGCTTCTCCTTCTTGGCCACTCGCAGGAACTCCAGCTCCTAGAAGAACCGTGGCCGGACAGGCGGTCACTTGAAAGCTGCCCAGGCCTCCTGTCCCACTGGTCCCATCCCGGCATCACTCAGAGCCCCGGGCCCCTCCAGGTCGGCCACTATGTGCGGGGCAGCCCAGGTTCTCTCCCAGCCAGCTGGAGCCAGCATGCCTCAGCCACTTGGTGCCTCCTCCCAGCCGAGCCGAGCCGAGCCGAGCAGCAGTGTGACTCACACCCCACCCTGCAGACGCTGCAGACATCGAGTGGGAAATCGCACCTCCACCCAGAGCTGGTGGCAGTGGTGGGGCACGCGCTCAGCATGACAGCCCGCAGCCTGGGACAACAGGGTTGTGTTGTGCTAACGCCCACCAGTGTGAGGCTGCCCCAGAGCTGCCAGACACAGCCGAGGTGTGAATTCAGCTGCCAGGCAGGCGGCCTCAGCACAGCCGGGCTCCGTGCAGAGCCCCAGGGGGACCAGCTCCCCTTCGTCGTGTGTGTGCTCCAGCTACAGGGCCCTCTCAGCCAACGCCAAGAGACAGCTCCGGGTATGCCCCGCACCCAGGCTGGTGATGATGCTGCGGGGCGCAGGAAGAGCAGCGTGTGCCTCCGTCTGGCTGCTCAGTGCCAGCCTTCATGTGCAGAGAGGGACACACCAGCCACAGTGCGGCGGCCACCATGCGCAGCCCCGGCCTCACCTGGTGGAGGCTGCGCTTGGCCTGCAGCGCAGCGTTCAGCTTCTCCTCCTGCTTCACACGCATCTTGACCACTTCGTGCAGGAACTTCTCTTTGGCTTCCTTGGTGTCCAGGCCGCCCTCCAGAGCCTGCCGCAGGTGCTCCAGCTCCGCCTCCAGCCCACTCGGGGCGTCTGCGTGGGCTGTGGCATCTGAGGCGGCCACGGGAGGGGCGTGCACACCTGGGGAGCTCAGGTCCTTGGCAGAGCTGGATGACGTGAAGGACGGTGAGGACAGCGAGGACAAGGAGGAAGTGACTGGGGACAGAGACTGGAGTGAGCAGGTGCAGGTGGGAAAGGGCTGCTGCAGAACAGACCCCAACCCCAACCCCTGCCAGCCTGCAGGGTGCAGAGAAGGAGACTGAGGCACTCACATTCCTCTCTGCTCTCCACTTCGACCTCGGCCTCCGAGTCCTTGTCCTCCTCCGCAGCAGCTACGGGCACCAGCATCTCCGGGCCTCCAGGGGTGTCTGCAGTCAGCTTCCGCTTCCGGGGCTGGATACAAGTGGGAAGAGGCTCGGGGGCCCGGGAGACCACAGTGCTGCATGGCGGGCTGTGTACAACCTTCTGCTGGGCTGGCGGGGCAAGGGCCACATTGGGAGCCCCCGCTGTCTCGAAGCTCTTGTAGGAGTAAAAGCTGCAGGGGGTGCAGGTATTGGGCTGATGCGGTGTGCCTTCCCCTGGGCCCCACCTGCAGCCTGCCTGCCAAGGCTGACCCTGGCCGGACCACTCCCTGGCTGTGACACAGAAGACGCATTCTCCTCCAGCCTAGACCCTTAGTGCCAGCTCCCACTGGCTGAGAACCACAGAAGTTCCCCATGGCCACATACCCTGGGAGTACCAGGAGGACCCCAGGAGGAGGCTACGTTCACAGATGGGCTCTATGAATTCCACAGCTGCACTCAAGGTCTCAGAAAACTATAGATGGTTCACCCTGGTGCCGAGCGAACAGCGGCAGAAACATACTTTGCCTAGACACTCTCAGTCTGGGCGCTCCCCCCACTGAAGCAGCCACTCACCTGTCTCGGATCAGGGCTGGGAGGTGTGGGGAGAGCTCCTTCTCACTGGATGAAACTGCAGGGGACCAGGGTCGGAACGCAGAGAGACGCTGGCGAGGGTGAGCGCAGCCCAGGCTCTGTGGGAAAAGCGGCATCAGGTCTCTAAGGCCTGCTGGGTGCCCAGCCCTGAGCAGAAGGCCGGGCGCCCACCTCCCCTGGACCCAGGCAGGCCCCAGGCAGCACCTTATTGGAGGAGCCGGCCAAAGTCCGGAGCCAGCTAGACTGCTTGTCCTTCTCAGAAGATGCAGGGGACTGGGAAGAGGCATCATCTGTTTTGGGTCTTATGGAGGCCGGGGCTTCAGAGGAGACCTGTGAGAACACAAAGTACCCTGCTGGTACCTGCGGGCCGGGCAGGGTCTCCCTGCCTGCCAGCCCCCGTGGGGATGGCCCGAGGGTACACAGCCCTGCTCACTGTGCACTGCAGGCCCAAGCTGCCAGCAGCATGCAGGAAGGTGGGCCTGGTGCTGCCGGGAAGGGGCAGCCACTCAAGAACACAGAGGACGCCGTTGTGCCGCTGTGAGCTGCTCGAGTGACCTCACCCGCAGCTGCAGCGCGGCGGGGTGAGCATAGCAGCTCCACCTGCCTGTGCCCTCTGCCTCTGACCGTCTACACCACCTTCCCCAAACCTGGGGGCACAAGATCCCTCCCAGCCCAGCAGGGTGACAGGACTCGCACCTGAGACGTACACAGGGTGCCTGAGCCAAGGAGACACCAGAGTGGCCATTAGCTCTTCAGGAAAATGGCCTTTCAGGCCCCCTCCAACACAGAGGTGCCTGGTGCGCCATGCACATCAGGCTGCAGACGTCACCACTGTCCCTGCCATCAGGAAGCTCAGACAAGCTCTCGCTGGGCTCTAACTTGCCCCGGTGCTAGCCCAGCCTGCAGAGCCACGGGGTGACAGCACAGTCCAAGCCCTTCCTCAGGAGAACAAATCCAACCCCAAAGCTCCAAGCCAGGTGGCTGTGCATCCGCCTGTGTGGAGGCAGGTCTCCCTGGAGCACACGGCAGGAGTGTGGCCCGTGAAGACGCCATTCTTGCCACAGCCTACACAGAGACTGGGAGGGGCCCAGGGCGCAGGAGGGTGGCCCCAGGGCACCTGTGGACCTCTCTCCTCCAGCCAGGGAGGCTCAGGGCAAAGAGTAAATGACACTGGAAGTTCCCCCAGAAAGCACAACCACAGAACTGGCCCCATGATGGCCAGGGGTCCCCACTTTCAGGGGGCAGGCAAAGAAGCGGGTGGTCAAGGTGCCCCTAACAGCACCGTCAGAATGAAACTCAGCAGAGAAGGCCGGGCCGGGCCGGTGAGCTGGCTGTGTGTGCAAGTGTGCGTGCTGGCCTTCTGCCCAGGAACACATGGCTGGAGTGAGGTGCAGGACACCCCCTCTCTAACCTGGCACACGGGGCCTGGGTCAGGGGAGCCAGAGGAAGGAGCAACTAACTGGCCTCTGTCCTCACACAAATGCAGCTGCCCAGCTGCCCTGGGCGACTTCAGGGTAGCCCCACAGGCCCAACCAAGCAGAGCTGAGTTCAAGACACTAACATCTCTCAGAGGTGACAAGTCTCAGTGGTGCAGGTGGATGATGACTGGGGTGCAGAGCTGCCCTGCAGAACTGTGGCACCCTCCCAGACCTCAGGCAGGGCTGCACCACCAGGGTGGGGCTTCCTGTCTTCACAGAGGAGCAGGTGCAGAGGGCGAGCTCGTCCTCACCCAGAGGAAAGAGGAAAGCCACAGAGCCGGCGCCGTCTGCTGTGACTTGAGAAACTTCAGGGACTGTGAGGGGAGCGCCAGACACCTCTGCAGCGCCGCTAGGGCAACAGGGTGCCCACTTCAGGCTCTGCCCACAGGGCACACGGGGAGAACAGGGCCGGGACAGAGTCACAGCCCCCAGCATGCACGGCATCTCACAGAAAGCAGCCTCATGGCAGTGCCCTGCAGAGGGACAGCCACTGCCTTGGCCTTCACACCAAGTCACTGGAGTGAGCATGGGGTTCGAGAGGGTCTGCCCAACGAGGAAGCAGTGCATCTGCCGGGGCCCAAGAAACGTCACTTGCAGGTGTCCATGCCAGGGAAAGTGTCAGCCCACAGCCCAGACCCTGGGGGTCCCAGGACAGAGCTGCACTGGTGACCAGCCACAGCGCCCGCTTCCACAAAAGCCCAGCAGAATCCCTCATCTCTGGCTTCAGATCCTTCTCAGGGCCTTGAAGCCAGCCTAGCGCCCACAGTCCATGAGGGTGGAGAAGCTGCTGGACCGCTGGACAGGGTGGTGTGTCGGGCCCAAGGGCCACACAGCCCTGCAGGGAGCTCTGTTCCAAGGAGCCTCAAGCCTTGCGGCCGTGGTCACACAACACACAATAAGGCTGGCCACCGGGTGGCCCCGCACCACTGCCCTCCTGTGTGTCCACTGAGCATCACAGGGAGCATGGAGGGCCAGCTCCACCTGCATCCCACACCAGGGCATGGTCCGGGCATGCAGCCGCCAGGTCACACTTCCAAGGGTAGGGCAAGCAGGCGAGCAGAGGTCTCCAAAGGCGAGGCTGGGCTGGCTCCTGCCGGGTGCTCAGCCCCCAGCAGGGCCAGGCTCAGGTCTTCACGGGACAAGACCTGGCAGGGCGGATTCCGTGGGAACAAGGCAAGTTGGGTACTGCTGCCCAGGAGGCCAGGGCCACCTGAGGGGGTCTCTGGGCCCAAGGAAGCCCTGACCTCCACCCGCTTCGTGGCAGAGGTAAGTCACGCAGGGCAGCACCACACAGCTGCTTTCCTGCCCAGGTGCACGAGGGTGCGCAGCCACTGAGGACTAGGCTCCCCGTGTGCGGGGACGCGGGATGCGGGACACGGGACATGGCCCGTGCAAGGCAACCAGGGCAGCAGCTGGGCACAGACCCAGCAACAGGGTGTGGCCCATCTGCCCGGGTGGGCGTCAACTCTGTCCTGAGGACCTCAAGAGTCCGCCTGCTCAGGTAAACCCACCCCCACAGCCACAGTGGGCTGCACGAAGAAGCCCTGCTCTCCGGTCAGGTCAGGGCTGGGCCCCTCCCTGCCGTCCCCTGTGCCCTCCTGGCCACACTTCAAGGACTCCAGAGGGACACGCGGTGAGGTGGGCCAGGAGCCCAGCGGGTACGAGCTCCATCTGCAGCAGTGGCGATGACCCCAAAGCCTACAGTGACTGTCTCATCCTTGCTTTCCTCCCCACACCCGCACTAAACCAGTGTGGACCCCTTGGGGCATGGCGCGGATGCTGACGGCCAGCCTGGCCCCACAGCACAGAAGACAGGCTCTCCACCAGGCAGGGGTGAGCACTCCAGCTGCGCCTCAGCTCTGCACTACCCTGGTGGCTACTACCCAGCTGGGGGGTTGCTGAACGAGGCCCCCTCCCTCTCGCTGGGAAACTGATGCTGGGGGTCACAGCCCTGGGGCTTGTTTTGTTCTCACACCCAACTCAGAACAGAACACAGCTGCACATGCACCTGGTGTAAACCTGCCCGGGGCTCGGCTGCTCAGTGCTGCGAGCTTTCCCACGAGGCCCCAGGGGCTGTGCCCGGTGACACCTGGACCCGAGGGTGACCAGAGTCACACCAAGCTGTCTGAGTACGGTGGTCTCACTGCAGCCAGGGACAGACCCACCTTGGCCCTCAAGAGGCAGGATCAGTTCCTGAGTCTAGAGGTGACCCAGCCCAGGCCATTTGGCTGGCCGCAAGTGCACGCGGAGTGGGAGCGGTGAAGGGACTGGTCAGCTCGTCAGCTGCCTCCCCATCCTGACAGGGGGGACACACACAGGGATGGAAAGGTCTGGACCCAGTGCTACACGGGTCCAGCTGTGGGGCTCTGAGGTACCTGACACAGGGACCCTGCAGGATGACACCAGTGGACAGCTCCCAGGGGTGGGCAAGAAGGCAGCTGGCCCTCAACTCCACACTGGAAGCTCCTTGAAGACTCACATGGTGTGGAGAGAAGAGACAGCAAACACTGCCCAGGAATGTGCCGGAGCAGAGGCTACAGGAGGGTCCTGGGGCCAGGAGACAGAAGTCCTAAAGGCCCCGCGCTGGGCAGGGCCCGAAGCACCTCTGCTCACTCAGCAGGGAGAGAGCTCCATTTGCAGTTGCAGGTCTACAGAGTGGCTGGGCTCAGTGTCAACCTAGCTCCACCACCTGCACCTCAACTATGCCTCCCACCAGCTGGCCCAGCCCCAAGGCCCACAGGCCTGGCATCATGGCCAAGGCTTCCTGGAGGTGGGGATCACAGACAACAACATGTGAGTGTAGCCCAGACAGGTGTCCCCCAACAAAGGCTGCTCCACAGCAGCGGGACAAGCCACAGCCATGGCCCACGCCACCCTTGAGTCAGAAAGGGGCAAGGCTTCATCTAAGAGAGAGGACACAGCAGTCCTTGTCCTGAGGAACCCAGCAGTCACCTGGCCAGGTGTGCTGTGGAGCCCCAGCAAGAAGCAGAGGACATCCGGCTCAGACAGACACGAAGGCACCCTCCCCTGGGAGCCAGCTCAGTGAGGCACACTCTTATACACAGCTGTCCCCCCACTGCAGGCAGCCCACCTGTCCACAGCCTCCCCTCATTCTGCAGCCAAGGGATGGCAGCCTTCCAGGGGTGCAGGGAGAGCTACACCACGAAGACCCAGGCGCTGGGCCACCAGCACCTGCATTTCCTAACACAGAGCGTCCCACACAAAGGCAGTCACTCCCGCTAGGACAGGGTCCAGGTAAGGAGTCCTGGTGGCTCTGGAGCCAGATGTGGCCTAGGAAGCCACAAGGCCCCGACACTGGCATGTGCATGGCCTTCCAGCTTGCATGGAGGCTGCAGGCCCAGGGACAGGGTCAGCTCCACCTGGGCAGTGCACACTCACACTGGGCCTCAGAGCCACACAGCCCTGACCACCTGTTTCAGTCTGCATCCAGGACATACCCCCAGGCCACGGGACCGAATGCTGGAGGTGCACGGCTGACTCCACTCGTCAGGAGGCAGGGCCTGGTTGGGGTGCCTGGGGTGCGGCCTGGAGGGGCAGGTCTCCCTCCCTGGCTCCTCTCTCTGCTTCTGAGCTACCAGGCCTGGGCAGCCCTCCTCCACGGTGCCCTCTACCGTTCTGTTTAAGCCTCTAGACAGACTCAAACGCCTCAAACCATGAGCCGAAATAAACCTGTCCTTCCTTTTCCTTGTGGGTATCAGGTACTGTGCCTCAGCGACTGGGAAGAGACCGAGATGTCACACCCACCCAGCAACCACCATGAAACCCAAGTGCTCAAACAGCAAGGGAGGCCTCTGAAAAGCTCCAGAGTGTGGAGGGACACGGCTGCTCACA